TGAAGCAGGACTTTGCACTTTGAAGGTGCAAGGGGCATGCCAAAAGATGGTATGATGGCGGTCAGTTTATTCAACAGGGTTTGTGCTTCGCTATGGTCTTCAAAGATGAGGGCGATGTCATCTGCGTACTCCAGGTCGACAAGGCTCTCGCCAGCAACAATTTGGACACCAATGTTCGCCTCATTATTTCGATGACGAAGTTGAACAAGAATGGGGAGAGTGGGCATCCTTGTCTGACACCACTTTTTGTAGGGAAGCTTTTGGAGAGCTCACCATACACCCTCACCCGCCCAGAAGTATGTGAATATAGGGATCGGTTATGTTTACAAACTTCTGGGGCATACCCTGTTGAGCAAGTGTAGTTAACAGAACTGATTGATCAACAGAATCAAACGCACCCTTGAAGTCAAGGAATACCAAGATTGTGGGTCGTCTGTACATGCGGCGTTGCTCTAACACCTGACGGAGTGTGAAGATGTGGTCAACGCAGCCTCTATCCGGTCGAAATCCTGCTTGATTCTCACGAGTCAAAACTTCGCGTGCCGCAATGAGACGGCCACATGATCAACGACCATGATTATGTGGTAATCAGATACCAGCGGAGAGTCCTGACGATCGTTGTTCCTTCTGAAATACGCAAACTGATTTCGATTATGCTGTTGTGCAGACTCGCTCGTCAGTTCTCCTTTCCTTGGGATAACGGTTCTATGCAGGGTCATTCAGTCCACCAACTCCAATGGGTTTCCGTGGCTCTGCAATATCAAATTGCTCTGGATGGAAGGCTACTAGAAATATACGGTCACACTGATGATGAGGGTTGGTTGGACAGGAAATGGGAGGTGGAAAATACCCTCACCATTAGCACTCTTTCAAGCCATCCTACCTGGCCAGATGAACACATATTCAAGACCAACAGATCTTATGGATGTCAAAAAAACCAGACGACCAACTTGCTGTCGCAGTAGCACACGTATATCTTTCAAGCACCGCCTGCAGGTTTTCAGAACACTGGTGGCACATGGCTTATAGCTGACTAGCTGAATTGAACTGTGGTATTCCCTAAAATCCCGGAATTGGTTGATCTAGTTCCAATGGACAAAATGACTTTGCGGTGTACTAATGTGGATTAAGTTTTCTAACAATGGAATAATTAATCGCATACAGTGCATGTATACATTGAATACGAAACAACGGGATGTATACCAAGATAAGGAAGTTGACTAAATTGCTAAGTCTGCTCAGTTAATTGAAATAAACGCGTAGAAAGTGTGAAAACCAGGAATTGTGGCGTAGAAATTCAACACGAACTGAATACCACAGTCTCTCTCGGTAAAGAGCAACCAAGGCAAATAAAGCAATAATAGTGCAACCAAGTGAAGCCCATACCATCCTCCGATGGACAATCGTTATATATCTTTTATTCGCCACTCACCAACCACACGAATACCCCACAAAGCGAAGTCTCATCCGAAGCGATCGTCTCCGTGACAACCGTCTTCGTCCATTGTTCCGTTAGGAGACCGGACCGGGTACAGAGCCAGGTATGCTACCCTCTGCTACTACTTGGAAACAATGTAAAGTGACGACAGTTATGCATTCAATTGCTGCTTTTAAAACACATTGGTTGGTTTTCGAACTCGGCGCGCCGACGAATAAAGCGCTTTTTATGAACGTCACAGGGACTCGACAGTTTCCTTCCGTATCAGAACAAATTGATCGTATGGGTCGTCAGATAGCTTGGTAGAGGACTCATCATCCGAACTAAATCTCATCCCGATAAATGACCTCGTAACCTCATCCTTCATCATTTCTCGAGAGAAATAACCAGCGCCGATCGTCTTGTGGATCCAACCAGAGTTTACCAGATACTTTCTCTGCTTAGCATTTGGCATTGTACAGCCACATGTGCATCTCAGCATGTGCGTGACAGTCGTTTTCTGATCCATGATCCGCATCATCACTAGGAAATCGTCTTCGGCGCCGTGGAAGTTTGAGACGTAGCTGCCATGTCTTGGGGAAACTAGGGACTGATTGGTATCTAGTGAACGTGCGATTTCCGTATGAATTACCTGAAACTTAATCAAACGAAAAAACAACTGTAACGCCTTAACACTGCACGGCTGCGCCTGATGTAAAGGAAAAAAAATCATATACTCCACAAGCACCAGACAGAGTTGCATATTCATCTTTAGTAGAAAGTAAATACACTATCACTTGCTGACAGGTTTGCGAGGAGTAGCGTTCGCACGCGAAAGAGTCGTCTGTCACTGACAAGTGTTCTGCAGCGAATAATCCAGGAGCCATCTGTCACAACCTTTACCAGACCTACAAGCCATTTTGCTTTTGGTAACGCTCGGTTATCAGCTATGCAACGAAAGAGTTCACTGGTAGAATCGGTTTTCTTTAAAATACCGCTTCTCCTAGACAGTGTCAACTTAATGAAAGGTTTTTTTGGTAGCCCAGTAGCGCAGATGGTCGTTATTTTGTTCACTGAGATCGGCGATTTGATTTCAGACGTTTCGTCACCAATGGAGTAACATCATGAGTGCGTTTGTAGGAAGCGGAATGATTCTGCACAACCGCTGACTACAACCTAACCGAGCACTTGTCCGACTAGAAGGCAGCGGTATATCACAAGCGCTTTTGACAGTAAACGGCAACAAAAATGACATATTAGAAAAGAAGTCTTTAAAGTTGTCAGAACGACCTTCGTAGCTGAAGTGTCTTAGAAAGGTGGACAAAATTGAGGGAAGATCATGATCCCTGTCTCGTCCTGTTTTGAGCTCAGTTTAGATATCTCTTTAAATCAGGCGTGTCTTTACCGGTACAATTTGTGGGAAGAAGTGATTGGAGCAAAATGAAATCGAATCCCGAACGATTCTTCCTCTGGAAAGTTGACTCTGTATGGCACCAACTTTCACTTGACATCACTCTCTGTTTTCCTTAGTCATTGTTCAGCTATTGCACCATTTCGGTGCTTAGCTGCCATACCAGCGGAAGAAGGCACGAAGGCCGGGATACTGCCAGGTTGCCCGAGTCTAGACAGGAGTAGTCGAGATGCTGAGGTTCGGTTCGATGGACGGACCTTCCAGTTCGTAGGCTGACGCCTTAACCATTGAGCTATCCCGCGTTCAGTTTTGGTTTGAATAAAAAGAATCAGGAGGGCCAGCATACGTGTTTACTCAATCTGCTAAAAAATCGTTCAGCTGTAACACCCAGTGCCTAACTTCCATGGTACCCGAAGGAACCACGAGGGCTGGGATACTACCGGGTTACCCAAGCTTAGACAGGGGAAGTTGAGAGGCAGAGGTCGGGTTCGAAACATGGGCCTTCCGGTCAGTAAATTCGCGTTCTAACCACTTGAGCCACCTTGCCCCCCACTCTGTCTGATATTCTACTCAACAAAGGAGACACCTTTATCTCCATTCCATCGGCTTTGGTTCGTTGATGTCATTATGTTAACTTTTGTGACACTTTATTTCAGCCTGCCTACCATTTCAACTTTCAATGACTCAGGTAGACGAATATGATTTTGATTCATCTGACGAAGAGGTAAGTCGATGCTATCATTTTCCATTACCTTCAGGACATCCGGAATACCATAGGAAATATTCCGGTTCAATGGTACGACTCTTTCGCTCACATTGGTTATGATACATCCGGACGACCTATCATCCGACCCAACTTCGCCGATGGCAAATCGGACAGTATCGATGAATTCCTACAGAGAGTTGACACTGGGATGGGTGAATCTAACCTCGAATGGCGCACCGTACAGGATCCCCAGACCGGACAGTTCGTTGTTCTGAGCGATAATGATCTAGATATGGTTACGAAAATGGCATCACACAGGGGAGTGCTTAGCGCTGGTGATAGTGGTCCGTACGAAGTAGGTTAAATTTTTTATGACACTTGATTCCGCAGCCATGGAATGACTGGTTCACCAAAGATGTATTAGAAATGCCAGTAACCGCACATCCTCCACAGAAACGAAGTTTCATCCCTTCCCTTCTTGATCGTCGTAGGGTGAGTTGCGGTGTGCACAAACGATATTCCGTTTTTCTTGCCGCCTGTATTGTGTAATTCTGGTGTTACCACCCTCCTTCAAATGCAAGGCGTCCTTTTTTGTCATCCTTTGGACTGTGGTATCTTAATTTGTCTGTCAACCCATCATTGTGCACCGTCATATCACTGAGGATTTTCCCCTCTGCAGATCACTTTGCGGAACTTCCCCGGGTGTAGGTCTTAGAGTTTCGGAACGGCGCTCCGACAGCCGCTGAATTCGGTGCTTGAGCAATTCACTTTACCGGGGCTACTCGCATCTTTCGAATCTCACCAAGGGCCGAAACAGCTGTATGCCCCCACTGAGTCTGGGTAGTTCATCCATTTACTATGTATGGTCCAACTTACCACAAACAAGTTGAAAGCTTCACTGTGGGATTTCTACTCAGATTTGTGCTGCATAATCTTCTGGAACTGGTCAATGCTAGTCGCTCGTATCGAGTGATGAAGCTGCAGTACGAGATAAATTTCTCTAGTACCGTTGAAAGACCGTGTGAATGTGAACATGCCATTGTTATATAGAACTCTATATTCACTCGACGATTACTCAATGTGTGCTTTTTTGTCACCTCACTAACCTTGAATTCATTTCCCTAAACTTTGTTTTCCGAACAGGTTGGTCGGATGGTGCATGCAATCAAAATGGGTTGGTTCAAACCCCGCTTGCCTGCCTGGGCCCTCTCTGATCCCAACGATCCTGACGCGTTGCGGAGGTACGCAGCCTATATGACCTCTGGGAATCTCGGCGCGTTAGATTCGGATGAAGAGGAGGATAATTTGGGCATTCCGTCGGCTTTCGTTTCCTCCTATGTTTTTCCTGATGTCTGGGCTGACCAAGATAGTGGTCCGGGTGTCAAGCCAGACGAATCTGAGAATTCGTGGAGGACAAGGTTTCCGATGTTGTCGCAGGACTATCGCCCTCCACGTCCACGTCCGTATCAGAAGGCCCCTGAAGAACCGCTTCCTGGTCATATTGCATCATACAATCCGCCTCCGGAGTTTATTCTATCAAAGGACGAGGTAAGCCTTCTTGTATGCTATGCGTGGACTGTGATCAAATATGAGGTATTTAGAGGTTGAAGCATGCTGTAGCTTAAATAGCTGGATGTCTCTTTGGATAATAAAAAGAATGGGCTAGTTGGATCAGCGGTTAGAGAGCGAAGGTTCGTGGTTCCAACCCAACCTTTGCATCTCGATTGCTTCTGTGTAGGCTAGGGCAGCCTGGCAGTATCCCAGCCTTCGTGCTTCCTTCAGGTGGCATGGCAGCAAAGGCACCGAAAGGGTGATTGTCCAGAAGTCAGCCGTCCCTAATAACCGAACATCACATCAATTGAACGGATGTGTCACGTGCAGGACACGGACCAAACGAAAGTATGCCCTGATTGTTCAGAATGCCAGCCAATCCGAGTCGAGCATCTTTGACTCGACGCTTCTCGCCTCCCTCACGGAGATTCTGGCACGACCTTATGGAACACTCTGTGACTACCCTATAAATACAGTTGTAATAATTTTCCTTTGTCTCCATAAAGGACTGCTTAGAGCTACCGTAGTGGACGGAGGAAGCCAAGGGACCGATACCGAGTGGCACTACCGTTCAGCAAGACACAACAGTGTTACAGCTGAATGATTATCTTATTATTGTTCATACTCACATCACTCTCGTTTGAACAGTCGTCCTCCTGTCCTGGCCTAATTATTCTGGTGAGTCCACACCAGTGCTTTCCCCCCTTTGGTGTGAACTCACCAGAATAATTACACCAGGACAGGAGGATGACTGTTCAAACGACAGTGATGCGAATATGAACAATGCATATCCCGCAAACCCCACAATAGATTGTCCTCACTATTATTCATTATTATGTTCTCGTGAAACACAAGAACCGTCTCCGAGATGGAACTTATTCACGTCATGTACTACCGCATTCAATCGGTTTAAATAGTCATGACACGCGTTCCTGCCACTTGGACATGATTGACCGCTGTTAATCGTTTGTCGGTTGTTAAACCATGTCAACGTAAAGTCTATCAAGATCTTTCCTTACCGGGATTGTTTATCTCTTTCCTGATGCACTCGCATTATTTGACCACGTAGCAGCGTGCTTAAATTTAATGTGTACTTTCTGTAAGTTATGCCAGCTCTGTTGTAATTTATCTTTGCTGGCAGCAACAGCTAAGGTTAATTCTCGTCATGGTCACTGGAAACATAAATTTTCCTTAGATTTGTTGGTTTGCCTATCCGAGCACTCTGACTACAGATGTTTCGTTGTCAGTCTGGGTGACACCATCAATACGCCTTTATGTAGTGAAACGGTGCGGCTTGTTGAATTTACTTATACACCTGCTTTATGCTGGCACTTTTATTTTTATTTGTTTGAGTGATCGGTTTGAGTAGTCTGCCTTCGACCTTGGCCTTTTCGACTCACCCATTGGTCGACGCTCGGCTGAGCTATGCCCTTGACATCGCTGATGTAAGTTTAAGGAGATTCCTGTCTCCTCGTTTGTATTTCCAGTAGCCGGCTCCATGTGAGTGTTGTGGTTGAGTCATCTTTTATTCAACTAGTGGCGCATACACTGAGTCCAGTTTGATATGTGGATTAGCGGAAACTTCGTGAAGCATTATCCTGGAACTTTCTTGTTTGTCTTGTAGCTCTGCGTACCGAGCTTGCTACGGAAGCTATCATTCATCTGCATCACTGTTTGAATGCTTAAGTCAAGAAAGCTCGAAGAAAGACAGTCAACTGTGGTGAAAAATTGCGTAGATGTTTAAATATCGGCCAAAATCCGAAATATTCGAATAGCTCTGAATGATCATCCGCAAGCCAAACGTCTTGACAAACGTGAAGCCGCGCATTTTAGCAATGACACTAACAGGATGTTCATCTGAAAGCGTGTGGTAGAAATACCGAAGTTGACCTGCTTTAGTCAAAAACACCCAGTGGTACTCAGATATGTCCACGTTTCCCATACTGGGATTTTCGGTGACAGAAAGGAGTTAATCATCGACGGTCCGGATACCCGAAATTCTTGTTGTCAGGTGATACACTCAACATCGATGTGGATAGGCATCCTACTCTGACTTTTCTGGTTAGGAGCGGTTAACTAAATCTTGGATTGTTGCTGTCATCTTTAAATATGCCAGCGTCCCCTGTTACACCGAACGTACAACACTTTCCACTCGTTACAACATCAAGGAAACTAACGAATCTGCCAGCATTCGAAAAGTCATCATAACCCTTTCATGGAACAGCTTAGTACTTGTGACTGATGGACACTTTCAAATGGTCCTATTGGAGAGTGAGTCGTCACAAAGAAATTGGTTGGACAGATGGAGCAATACCTCACAAAGGATTTAGTACCGTTTCGTAAATACAGTGGTGTTAGCTGGTCTGGACGAGGGGATGAAAAAGTTGACCTGAGGCCCGAAAAGCTTCCAGTGCATGCTGTTATTGTCTCTTGAGACCGGTCAGGAGTATGGCTGCGACTCTGCGTGAAAATGACATAAAAATGCCTTGCCAGGTCATAATAGCAATGTCCCTGTGTGGGTGTTCATGCTTATTTGTGGTTGCCATGTTTCACTTAATTCTGTCTTCGCGTGAAGTAGCAACTGGTGTTTTTTAGTTATATACTTTTCGACTTCTCACAAGCTCGGTAGCACCGCATCGGAGGTTTATGACCGCCCACCTGGGACTGCTCAGTCTTTGGTCAGGATACGGCATCATCATCCACCAGCTTCTTAAACGTAGGCATCTGATGTACATGGGCACCACGAATAGAAGTACTCTGATTGACAATGAAAACCTTCATTTTCTTGTCAAATTTGCACTAGGAGGAGACAACCAGTAAGCATTTCAACAGCTCAACATCAGTTGTTGACTTTGAGTGGATCCTCTAATATATTCATCCTTTTTATTTCCCGGCCAGTTCCTTTTTATTTACGTTCACTGGTCACCATATTCCCGGATCTTAATGGTTTTACTAAAAAATTACATACCCGGACATGAGGTATTTGGTACATTTTTTCGCAGATCACTCTCATTCGATTATCCATCGACTATTGATTATTTCAGCAAAAAAAATTGATGAAAGCTTGGCGAGAGAGGCTCTACGATGGCCACGTGTCCCGTGTGCCACCTCAAATGCCGCAAAAATTCGACTGTCTTCGGCACGTTCCTTTTTCCGAACGGTACTTGCGGGAGCGAGAAGAGCGTGTGAAGGATTTGATGATGGCAACACGAGTCGAAAAACAACGTCTGGCGACCACCCCCGAGGCCATCCTCCCTCAAATCCCCAGTCTTTCTCAACTCCGGCCCTACCCAAGCCAACCTGGATTGATCTATGGGTGAGTGGGTTCGAAGCTGGAGATATCCTTTGTGAGGCGGATATTCGCTTCTCTTGTAGTCGTCAAAACCGTGAAGGTGAAATTTTGCTCACTGATATGCAGGTCAGAATGTCGCGGTATGGATTTATTAAGCCTACAACTCAGTGCTTGTTGACATCTATCGATGGCACCCTTCGTCGTTTGTATACAATTCAGATTCTTGTCAGTTACAGGTCTATTCACCAACAATGTTCAGATTGCCACTGTGAGACCCGCGTATTTTCACAGAGTGGGCTGAGTTCAAACGTTGGAGGGAAGCATGCTTAAAGTACGCTGTCCTTCACAAAGACGTCCCCCTCCTGCCAGTTATGCGATTTGGAATCCTAGAAAGTACCATGTACTTGTGGACTCTAATGTCACTAAGTAGGTATCGTTAAAGCAGGTAACATCGTGGGCTATCCTTGGGGATGTACTGTCTTCTTGGCTTGGCGATAAAAAAATAAGCGTATACTGCAGAACTTCCTCTCCCCTTTCCTACGTAGACCTTTCGTTTGTTTACCTGAAATTTTACAGTCTTCGTTTTGTTTGCATGCCCTACTTTCTTTCCAGCGGTCACCGTGGTCGTGTGACCTCTCTGTCCATCTCGCCTTGTGGTCAATGGCTAGCCAGCATTTCTCCGGCTGACGGGTACCTGCGCATCTGGGAGACCAGCACCAACTACTGTTTCAGATGCTATTCTTTGGCCAGCCCAATTGAAAGTCGGCCACCGCCTGCAACAAAGAACAATTCTGGCTCACAAAAGAAGTCTGAACAGCAACAGGAATCAACATCTGACGGAGAGCAAGAGGAGGAGCAGCCGTGCGACAGCGATGAAGAGTGGTCTTGTGAACGACCCACTGCCGTGGTCTTGTGGAACCCAAAGCCGGAACTGCACCTTTTGGCAGCAGCAATGTGAGTCTGATTGGGGTGTTTATATGGTCATGTTGAGGATTGAGACATGAGATTGCACGACATTCCTTACTAATCTGCTCGCCTTCATCGATCGGTACTCTGCACCCATCACCAGTCATGGAATGCCCCAAGCTGAGACACTGTTTCAGCAGTTATGTACGATCAATTGGGTATTCACTATTCAAGAAACCTCTTCAACTGCTTTTCTTTTTTGGCGTAGCATATCTTGTTCACTTAAGGACTCAGTGGTGGGTACTTGTCCGTATTTCAGGCATAGTGAGATTTCCAATTTTCAACCAGAGTTGTGTCTTGTAGTTGGCAAGTCTACTTCTTGTCGCGGTTCGTCAGCAGTGTATGATTGACGCAACCCTAGGGAATTTTAATCTGGCAATCTTACTGATTAGCGTGAACATTCCATGCCTCAGCTGTGAATGTCAGATTGGCAAGCCGATTGACATACGCACCGAGAGAATATTGTGATACTCTTCTTTCCGCCTATTTCTTATATGATATGCTGTTGATTCGCTCTTTGAGTGGAAGATTCTCATAACTGTGTCCATCGTTATGCGTATGCATTAATTCCTTTCGAAAGGGGCCTCTTTTTCACCAAATTTCCCATTTCCCAGAGTACGTCATACCGGTTTCCTATGAAGTTTTATATATTTGGGCGGGTCGTCTCTGCTTCCCTTGAGAATCCCAAGAGTCTGTGAATTTACCCCCCGAAGACAGGCTGAGGGCTCCTGATTTGTACGAAAATCCTGTAAAAGGATACACTATTCACTGTCCGGAAGCCGGTTTTGAACAACATAGGCTTGAGATGCAAGCCAATGCACTGACAGTTTCCAAGCCTGATTAAAACAGCTGAACAAGCCCGAATCCCAGTCCAACTCCAGGATCTTATTGTTACTACATGGGCTTCGACTCGTCTTTCAGTTAAATTAGTTAATCATTTCTAGACCACGAACAAAATCCAGTTTGAGTTCCTCTTTGATGCTCTTCTGTCATTGCCGACTATCGTGCAAATGCACACGCCACATTCTGGCTTTATTGAGTGGTGTCGCGTATGTGACACTTAGCGGCCAGTTAACACTGATAAAAGGACGTTTTGGGTAAGTGCGTGGTCGGATGCCGCCATCGTAACTAATACAAAACCTTCTGCCTGTTGTCTGGATTGGTCGACAGCTGATTAGAATGGGAATCACGTCTCAGAGGAAGGGACCCTAGCAACAAGCGGAGAAAAGTTCGAATTTCCTGAATGAATGCAAAAAACACGATGTTTTTAGGAAAGAGATGAGCACATGTGAAAGCTGTCAGATTTAGACAACAACAACAACAACAACGAAATTTACTCAGCACCCCTTGCAAAACTTATTCAGCGTGCATAACAGCAAGCAAACACAGAACCCAAGGTAAAACCAGCGCTTTAGAAGTTGCGAACACTGTCGCCCAATTTGGATGCAGACCGCTTGCGCTCTTTTAAAAACCCGCAGATTTTGCTAATAAACTTGGATTCCCCTGGAGTTTTGGCCAATTTCCGGAAGCTGTAGATTGGAGTCGGTTATGTGCCATCTGCAGATCAGACGCTAGTCTCCACATCAAGCAGTTCTCCTCGGGATCGTCGTTTCCTGTGCTTTCGGGTCAGCTATTTTGTGTTGGGGGCTTCGGGAAATCCCACTGGGATCGCCCCAGATTTAGAAACAACAACAACAACAACGAAATTTACTCAGCACCCCTTGCAAAACTTATTCAGCGTGCATAACAGCAAGCAAACACAGAACCCAAGGTAAAACCAGCGCTTTAGAAGTTGCGAACACTGTCGCCCAATTTGGATGCAGACCGCTTGCGCTCTTTTAAAAACCCGCAGATTTTGCTAATAAACTTGGATTCCCCTGGAGTTTTGGCCAATTTCCGGAAGCTGTAGATTGGAGTCGGTTATGTGCCATCTGCAGATCAGACGCTAGTCTCCACATCAAGCAGTTCTCCTCGGGATCGTCGTTTCCTGTGCTTTCGGGTCAGCTATTTTGTGTTGGGGGCTTCGGGAAATCCCACTGGGATCGCCCTTTCCAAATGACCTTGCATCCATCAGCCAAACAACCGAACACAGTCTTCGCCAGTATGCAGTAACGCATTCAGCCGCCGCTCTGCTCGTGCAGAAGTGGACTGCAGTTCCCTACAGAGGAGACATTTGAAGGAGCAGACTACAAGTGGTTTGTTTTTAAACATGACCTCTCCTTAGGGGATCTTGACCTTTAAGGTAGACTTCAAGCAGCCACCCGAAAGGGTCTGTTCTATCTCTACAGGGAGGGAGGCTGTTTTAGTCTTGTGCGTTATAGGCAAAAGTATTGTTCTGATGCTCCTTAAGAACACTTTTGTTTTGATTCTATCAACCAGATACCTACAGGACTTATGGATGACCAAATGGATTGATGGTGCTTTTTCGTTTTTGTTGAGAAGAGATTTTGTGCAACCGGGACACGCAGATTAGGTCTTTGTTGGAAGCAGGTTTGTGGTTGCTGGAGCGATATCTGTCTGGAGGCTAGCCACCCCTAATAATCGATAAGCACGTCAGTTGAACGGATGTGTCACGTGCGGGTTACGGACGAAGGCATGCATAGATTGGTCAGAATGCCAGTCAATCTGGATAGAGCATCTTTATCTCGACGCTTCTGGCCTCTTTTCACGGAGGTTCTATTATGACCTTTTGGAACACTGTGATTACCCTACAAATGCAGTTGTAATAATTCTCCTTTGTCTCCATAAAGGGCTGTCTGAAGCTGCCGTACCTTTTGGTATACCATAGTGGGTATAGCAGGAAGCCAAGGGGCCGATACAGAGTTGCACAACCGTTCAGCAAGTCACAACAGTATCAGTTTCAAGCCAAGTCTCACGGGACCTCAGTGAAGTGATCTCAGTCAGCCTGTAGGACTTTTCGGAAGACTGCACTCTTGGCACCCACTTGATTTTTGCTGTATTACTATCTATAGCGCTGTTTTTTCATTAACCTTGTTTTCAGTTAGTTGGGGATGATGCTACATGCAGCAGTTCTAAGTGCGTATTGAAGTCAGTTTCATTCCAGAGTGTTTCACTGAATGCTCCAAGCTGTAGGCACCTGGGTACTTGCGATTGGCTGGTACCGGGTCGCTACTTCATTCACTCTTCCCTTCTTGTCACTCTTTTCACTCAACCACAAGGTTTACTTATTCATCAGCGAAATACACTCATTTGTAAACAAATTTGGTTTTTCGAGAGACTCACCTGGAATTCAGCTGAATCTCTCGTTTATGATGTTTTCGACCAACTGAATGTGCTGCACCAGGCCGCCTCATGTTTCAGTTGGTACGATACTTGTGTAGACGTAATACACTACTCATAAGGTCGCTGAATATTCTTCGACCTCCCACGACTGGTTTCGCCCTTCTTGGGGCTCATCAGATTGGCGCAGCCCCTCGAGTTTTCATTCTACATTAATCCAAATTGCACGAAACTAACGAAATACACTCAGTTGCAAACGGTTTTGGTTTTGCGTGAGGCTCGCATGTGACCTAGCTGAAACTCTCGTTTATGAGTTGTGTGTTGCGTTTATTTAGTCATGTTTAATATAGCTAAACAAACGTTGTGGTTGTACGGCGAAAACGTCAGTGTCAACACTCATGTTTTCCTCCCTGTTGATGATCATGATGATGCCTATTGCTTACTTCGAATCCCTTTTCGTTCATGCTGATCTCTATTGCCACATTTGTATGTTCTTTTGAAAAATGCATTATAGCGTTTATTCCCAAATTAATCGCGCCATAAACACGCCATCCACAAAAGTCGTTGTTTCCATCACTGATCGGACTTGCTAACATGTCATTCTACGCTAATGTGACCTGTTTTTTATACTTTATCCTCGTTCTAATTAACCTGCAAGAGAACTCGAAATAAACTCAATTCAGAATGGAACGGTCATGTGCCGCTTCGTGTTATTCCCCATTTTGTGTCATAACAGGGCGTGTAGCGTCGGGATATATCCGTATTCTTCTGGACTTTGTTTTTTAAACTCTGTCCGATATATTTCATGAATTTCTTTTTCGCTCCACAGCGGCCAGTCGATATTCCTTATCAATCCTGGACTGTGTGACCGCGTACGTGTGGAACAGACCAATTCTGGTCTTGAACAGTGGTGGACTAATCGAGAAACGGAGAAATCGCAGAAGAGCGCTGCAGTAGAGGTAAGCTGCTGTTTCACCCATGCTTTTTGTTTCACGTCCACCACTGTTTGTGTGTCATTCAGTTCATGGTAGTCACCGTGTGCAAAACGAGTCACTATCTGATTTCCTCCGTCTTTGAATGACTTCTGCTGCCTGAAACTAGAATAACTCATTGAGGTCGGGCTTCCTCAACCCCCTGTTCCTGAAATTTCGTTCCTTCATACAGTCAGTGAATTGCATATTCTTGCCAAAATTCCGTTTTTAGTGTTTTCGTGACTAGTTTTCCTATGGGCTAAATAACGGATTCGTTCTTTGGGTTTTGACGTCCTATTGGGATCGCATCACCTGTTGGTCCAACTAGGATCGCCTTTGGGATGGTTTGCTTGACTCTACTTGTTTCGCGCGTCCCTACATAATCGGTCTGTTTTTTTGTTGACAAACACGGCTGTCCGGCAGAAAGACCTTGCTCAATGGATACGTCCGAAAGGTCACCGTTTGGCACAGCCTAATCTGCTAACCTGCCGCCCAGTATTTTGAAGCAGTAGACTGATAGACGGACTATTCGTTCCACACTGTAACCCCTAAATTTCACCCAGCTTGGACCCACTAAACAATAGTTCTTTTCGAAACTGTTTACACTCCCTACTTCCGTTTCGATCCCATCGGTTGCAATCGTTCGTTCAACTAGTTAACCGGCCTTGACTTACCATCAAGTTAGTGCATGCACACGAGAATGTGAGCTAACTTATGTGGTATTAGCTGTCTTATCACACATGAGCTCAACTAAGTGCGAAGGCACGCAGCTCTCCGTATTACGCCCCAGACTACTGTGAGTGAAACCATGAATGTGGTAGTTCCGGTGCTTTCTGGACACAACGTTGGCTACCAGCATCGGGTCCACACTTTCGACCAATCAGAGCTCGGCTTGATGCTGGACCGGCAAGGGGTCCGATCGCGTGCGAGTTAGGCTTCTTGGCTGGGGGTCCGATCGCGATTAGGCTTCTTGGCTGTAGCAGTGCCTAACTGCAGTCGGTAAAGCGGTTTTGGTGCGGAATTAAACCCAACATGACCAGAATAGAAAAATTAAAATCATGTGCTACTGGCTGACTGGAAGTTGGTCTCCTGCATTCACCAAGCGAACGGTTCTTGACAAACTGTACAATCACTGGCTATATGAAGGTGTACATGTCCAGCGTCAGTGATGACAAGCTCTAATTTACCTCGATCATTTTGATAGTGGTGACATATTCTTAGGAATAAATTATGGTCGATCGCTTGAGACCCCCACGAATCCTCTTGGACACAGGTCACTCCTTCGCCAGTCATCACCTAATGTATACTCCCTTTTTTGTGTTACTGCAGACGGTGTCGCGTTTTATGCGGAAACATAATAGCCACATACGACCACACTGAAGCAAGTTTCCTGAAATCACTGAACTTGAGCCCGAGGTCGATTTATTTCTTGAGTACAGTGATATCACCGGCTAAAGAATTCCCCTTCTTCTATCTCATCAACTTTCTGCAAATCACTAGTTAAGTATCCCAAATCAAGAAAAGGACAGTGGGGTTTCAGTAATGACCGATGGGCTTGTGTTTCACAAAAAGATCATATTTCTGAATGAGCAGTACCAGCAAGGCCGATTCGAAACGCTCCAGTGAGTGAATATGAATCACAGCATTCCCGCGGAAGAATGTCTTAATTCTCAGCTGCAGAGTTTCTCATAAAGTGTCTCAATAAGTGGTTTATGGATGCAAAAATGGACACAATATTCGACTCTTTTCTTGCCGAATCGCTAGACTAATTTGCGCTGTCTGGAGAAATTCCTAATTATTGCCGTTGCGAATTTGTGGCTTGGATGGAAACCTTATTTTAAGGGACTTCGGAAGAACCTAGGATTACTTCGCTGCTATCCTCCTCAACTTTCTTGTTTGTGAAGTAACGTTTTTAGAACTAGGAATATTGAAAAGTAAAACTCCGTCTGGCGTGAATACCGAAGCCTAATTAAAGGACCAAGGTTGATCTTCCGATAACACGGGCTCAAGACAATTCGTTACAATACATACTTGTGTATTCTCCACCTTTATCTATAAGTTGTTCACCCGGAAACGGCTTTATTCTGCACATGGTTCCTTGTTTTATGTTCATCGACAGAGTCGGCTGGTTTGAGAGAGCCGAGAGGTCCACTAATGGGCGGATCGTGTGCAGGTTAAAAGCCAAATAGCACTGTTCCGCATGTGTGAATCCCTTAAGACCGAACACGTCGGCGAGATTCCCAGTTGGCTTGATGACGGCTTATTTCATTGCTCAAGATAGAACAGCCTTCAAAGTAATGCTTGGGAAAAGGTAACGGTCTAGTCGCCCAAGTCTTGAAAAAATTCCTATGACTCAGTAGACTCCATTTGGAAAAATGTGATGGTCAAGATCTTTCGGGCATCAACATTTAACAGTGAATTCTTTTGTAAGCAGTTGGTATCATCCACATAAATCAAGTTGCAACGGTGTATAGCTGTCATGTCACCCGAAAAAAGCACTAGAACTGAGGTACTGCCAAGTTGCCCAAGCCTAGACAGGAGCAGTCGAGATGCCTAGGTTGGGTTAGAACCACGGACCTTCCGGTCAGTAAGTTCAACTCTTCACCACTCTTCACCCCTGTCTAGGCTTGGGCAACCTGGCAGTATCCCAGCCCTCGTGCTTCCTTCGGGTGGCATGGCAGCTAGGCACCAGAAGGGTGCTACAGCTGAACGCTTCCACTGAGCTCACAGCACTGGTCTAACGCGCTTAGTAGCTTTATCGAATTCGCCTCAGTTGCAGTGAATGCGTGTGGAATGCACATCCTGGACCGATTCACCGCTTCACCGTCCGACTAGATCACAGTGGATTCTTGCTATGATGCCAACTGGATATAAATGACGTTGAACCGTACTTCTACTTGTACGCGTATGAGTATGGTACGAAGACGTTCGCCACTCTGTTCATGGGTACCTGGTACATCATAGATCCTCTCCTAAGCATGTTTTCAGCCGTTTATGGTCCAGTCACATAGATATTTCAGGGAGCAAGAATAAAAATCGGCACCTGAAAACAACGACCGCCTTTTGCACATCATTCGGTATGGGATTTCTTCTTCAGCTATGTTATGCTGAACATTTCCCACGATCGATTGCCTATGCCATCCTATCCACTCAGTGAAGCGATTGGCCTGACTGACTTATGGTTCCTTTCCACAGAGCTGTTATCAGTAAGCTGGAAAACTTTTAGGTCGGATTGAGAAGTCCTCATTTCGGAATGGCTTGGTTGACAGTCAGTAGTTGTATAACTGGGCTACCGATTGGTTACCGTGCCTTTCTGAAGTGATGACTTCTCAGCTGGTTCCAAACTCCTTCCAGTTGGTTGGAAACCACCACGGACCGTGTGTTCGCAAATTGTCAGTTGGCCACCTACTGTCTACTGTGGCGTGGCAAATTTATCAATTGGACCGCTGCGTGAGGAGAGGTCAGTTACACAACTACCGATTGCTTACCAAGCCCTCCTGAAGGGTTATCGGTAAAATTCTAAGAGCTGCTGTTATTTCGTTCCAGCGTCCTGAAACACACGAGATCGTGTGACACTAGTATGGCATCATCATCATTGACAGCATGACATCAGTGTTCAACACCGATGCTTCACTGCCGTACAACCATGACTTATTTGAAGGCCTTATTGTTAGGAAAAGAATAAAGTTGGGCAAGGGAGGCACTTAGTGCTAGCTTAACACAATCTCTGCCAGGTAAGGGTTGGCCACCTCTCTGTTTACGCCACTCCGAATTGGGCATGGAAAACAGTACCCTCTTCGGCAAACGATGGTTCGGCATAAGTAACACATGTCCCAACCAACGCAGCTTCTGGTGCTGGATACATTCTTCAGTGGAAGTACCCGTTACACAACCGAAAACACGCTTTCTAACTCCCTCGTTACGGATTCGCCAACACCAACCCACA